TTGGTGGCTAAGTATGTTGAAAAATTGTTGTCAAATATCTGTTGGCTGTTCAAACTTCTTTTGAGAACTGGTTATTCAGTTCATCAGTCTTCTTATTGACTGGATGATTTGATGGTGTTGAATTTCTGAAGTGCTTTATATGCCTTGGATATTAATCCCTTTGTAGTTGGCACAGATTGTTTTCTGTCCTGTAAGCTCTTTACTTTGCATAGCCATTCATTTCAAAATACAGCATTAAACTAGCTTCCTTTCAACTGAACATGAGAAAAAGAAAACAAAGAAAGCCTCACTTGACGAGAATAAAAACTGGAAACCACAGATGGAATTTCTGAGGCATTTTAAGTGAAACTGTAGGTTTTCCTGCAAATGTTGAAGCTTTGTCTTTTAGCCCCTTTCAAGTTCTTTCCATAATTTAAAACCTATTCTGCTTTGCCCAGGCTGTTCACAAGATGAGGTTATGGGTGTTTGTCCTACATTCTCAGTTCCTCCACTTCAAATGTGGTTTGTTTTCCTGTCACGTTTTTTTTTAAATGATCCACTTTGTGAGAATTTTAGATTCATCAAAATACCTGGAAGCATTTCTGTTCACAGAGAGTGTTCGCTATCTGCTTGTACGCTTTGAATGCAAAAGGCTGTGCCATATGCCACCATATCTTTCAGATTTTGTCTAGGGGATGCTGAAAATGTGATGCAAAAACAAGGAAGTTCTGTCATTTACATATTGTACTTGTGAGTCACCTAACAGCTAGGTGACTCAGCTGCCCCAGCTGCGGGCACCATTTAGCTAAATAACTGGATGATGAGCTGAAGTGTTCATTCTCACCAGGACATTTTCCTTTGTCCCTTTACACATGGTATCTGATATGCATGTTGTGTGGATATGCTTACAGATAGACAGAGTTGCTGAAACAACAGCCTTGAGCAATTGTTTCAAATAGGAATTTTGGGGTCAGCTACTTCCTTCATCTCTGGCTAGACATTTCTAACAATGACTGACTCTTTTTGGTCTGTTCCAAAAATCTTCAGTGTCATGCCAGAGAAAGCTGGAACAAGGGCCAAAGTTTCAAATCGCCTCCTGCAATCCAGGGCCAAGAACTGCTGACCATGACGATAAACACAAATTGCTGGGACATGATGCTCAGGCAGGAACGTAGCAAGGACTGAAAGAATGATAGGACACGGCAAAGTATCCACTGATGGAATGTACATGATGCATCATGATAAAGGCCCAATGTCTCATTGGATTCATACAATGCTATGATATAAAAGCTGTCATAGCCACCTTAGTTTATTTAGGCATGTAGAAACCTTGAGAAACACAAAGCAGTAAGGGTTGATGTTTGTCTTTGAAGACAAGCATTCAAAGCCCATCTGTTATAGTAAGTCTAGAGCAGCTTGTCTGGGTTGCAGCTGCCAGCCTCCTCAAAGTCACTTGCAATTCAGATCATCCCAGACTGGGGAGGTGTACTGATGGGACACCCTCCTGGCAACCTCATAGGTCAGAGTCATGATGGCAGTCAGCCCTGTCTGGATCCAACCTTTCATTACTGAATTCTCAGTCAATGTCTTTTAATCTCTGGGCAAAGTCAGGGGAGGAGAGAGACAAAGTTATCAGTATTAAAATCAAAATGCAGGACATTTGATCTACTCACATGGGCTAGGCATGATTTATAACATGGTTCCTTACATTTGAGCAGTCTTGAACGTAGTATTTAATGTGGGATTTATAAAATTAGGCTCTGGAACACCAAGATAGACTGGTGTTACCCACCATCTTCGTCTGTTTAAGCTATTAAATTCTGGCTACAACTATTTCAAATGTTCACTGCAGTGCTGTGAACATTTCTATTAAATTCCATTTAAGGGGACATGTCTCCAAGATGAAGAAAAGAGATGCACACTATGTTTTTGTCCTTTGAATGTGCTCAGTCATGACATATCACACAGTGGTACCATGAGGCAGACAAATGAAAAAATTGAACACAGAAAACTTTTGAAGCCAAACAAGCAAATAATTGTCATCACAATTATTTCATTATGGCTGACAACAAAAAGACAAAGGAGACTGAAAGTCTCCCAGAATGACAGGGCAGTCATAAAAGACTCATGAATACAAAGAGTATTTCTAAGAGGCAGAGACATTCTCACAGTACACAATGTACAGTAAATCCTCATTATGCTGATCACAGAGCTTCTTTTCCCCAAATAGTATGTAATTCAAAAACAATTCCCATTCCTTGACTGTCTAGATGGTCCTATTGTTATTTCATTAAAATACAAGCTCATTTTAACCTAGCTAATTCAAAGTCAAATTTCACCAGCCCCTTACATCGTAACTAATGAGGCTTTACTTCAACTCTGTTTGTCTCCTGGGCCCTAGCAACTCCCAAATTGCCCACACAAAAGCGACTTGCAGTGTAAAAGGAAATCACTACACAGAATGGTAATAACATATGTGAGAAAATATATGTTGAATGTCTTTGTGAAATTCAGAATTCTCCTTGGCTTTTACATTTACATATTAAATTATAATCTGAACACATCCAAACTATATGGATTCTTAGAAAGGAGGAAGGTGGGAAAAGTGAGAGATGTTCAGTTTCTCACGGGTAACAAAAGCCATGAGCACCTATTGACACCACCCTAGTTCAACCCTCCCACTTGGGTCCTGGAACCCTGGCTGGAGTGGAGGAAGGGGGGGTGAGCTGAGGTAATGAAGAAAGGAAAGACACATGTACACAACAGCTGGGGTCAAATGCTGTGCGTATCCACACATCACTACCCATCCCACCACCACCTCCCCACCCCTACCCCCACCACAGTAATTCCCTCTGAGACTGAACCATTTTATGCTACAAAGAAGCATCTTGAAACAGGAAGTAAACAACTCAAACACCTTCAGGAAGTCCCTGAAACTGACCAGATTCATTAGGTTCCTCCCTGCCCCCAGAGTAAACAGTAAAGACTGCTGGAAGTCACTCCCAGATAAGCCAAGTTATAAAGAAGATTCAAATAAGCAAGCAGCAAAGAAGACTATGAGACTAGCCAAGCACCCCAAAGTAGCACAGAATAGGCTATTAGAAGCAGCAGAGACCAGGTAGGAAAAGTTACTCTCAAACTGTTGAGCTGCCTGTAGGCTATGCAGTGTGTTCCAGTTCCCAGCTTTTGTGAGCTGTCACTCATGCTAGGTGAATTTTGGTGACACAGCTGTCTTTGTGTCATTTGTGTTCCTATAAGTAACCCCTCACCCACTTTTGTAAGTAGACCCAATAAAACTCATTGGTTCCCGAAGTTGGATATACCTTGGTATTTGTGGGATCCCTATGTGCTGTGTGTGTGTGTGTGTGTGTGTGTGTGTGTGTGTGTGTGTGTGTGTGTTGCACCTCCCCACGAAAATCTATCACAATACACTCCAAGGAAATCTTGGCCATTCCTCTGATCCTGGCCCACATGAGTAACAACTTGGTCAATTTCCTGTGGGTCTGAGGCCTTAGAGAATTTGGTATGACTCTGCCATGCCACCAATATACAATTACTCTGGGCTTTCCTCAGGGCTTTCTCTGCCTACAGCCTCCCATTTAACAGTATAATGTATGGGAACTGACCACACACAAAAATACCATAAATGGAGTACTTGTGACTATGAATTAACTTTGATCAGTCTCTTCTTGTCTTATTGAGGGAGAAAGGCATGGAAAGTTCATCTACCTCCACTCAATCGACCAAAGGGCCAGTCTGTGGGAAACCTGAGCTCTGGGCAGACTCTCTACCTCCAGATTCCCCTCTCCAAAGATTTTAGTGAATACCCAAATCCCAAGAGAACGCTGACCTTGTGAGCAGAAGAGCACACGAGAAGAGAAAGTGGCAGGTCCCTCACAGCCTATGCAGGCAGGGACAGGTGATGTCAGCTGTCCCTCTGAAGTCTATCTGCTTAGCATCACAACTGCCTTCCTCCTCCAACCCTTATCCATATCATGGACCTGTGTGTCCATGTGTATGCATGTGCATGTGTACATGTGCACCAGAGTACATGCATGTATGCATGTATGTGGGGACAAAATGACAACTTCAATTACTGTTTCTCAGGTGCTATCTACCTTTGTGTTTGACACAAGGTTCCTAATTGGCTTGAAGCTCACCAGGCTGGGCTAGCTAGGCTGTACACTAGGCAGGCTGTCCAGCAAGCCGAAGGGACCCTTTGCCTCTGCTCTTCCAGCACTGAGATTGCTAGTACAAGCTACTGTGCCTAGCTTTGTTTGTATGAGTTCTAGGGCTTGAACTCAGGTTCCCATGCTTGTAAGATGAGCATTTTATTGACTGACCTATGCCCCTAACTCACAACAGAATAATTTTGATGGAACTATGCACCTGGATTCTTCTGTTAACCTTGTGGGATGCTCTGGGTGTGTCTATAGGCCTCTCTCTGGGGTAATGTTCCCCTTACCCAGATCCTGTAGCTACTGACTATAAAAGGCACATAGCCATAGCGGTATGCATACACAGAGAATTATCTTCTGTCCTGTTGGAAGTGAGGCTAAAGGCTGGTCAGTAATAACCCCAGACACAGAAGCTTGTCTGCTGAGAGAAGGGCAGCTGTGTCAATGGTATAACCAGCACCCAGAGCCCCTCAGAAGTTGGCATTGCAGCTCTGTCTCAGACATAAGCTTCCTGATTGTGTCCTCTGCCCTCCTTGCCTTTCTCACACAATTCTCACTGCACTCAGGAACCTCCTGCAGCTCTCTCCTAGCTAGAAAGCCCTCCTGACTCTCCTGAAAACGTTCATACAGATGCCACAGGGAGTTTTCAATTTCTGCACGGTTTTCCTACTTTTAGAAATAAAAGACATTCCTAATGGAAAACACATTTCCTGAACAAAATTTATGAGGTTTTCTTTCTCAGATGTAGCCGCAGAGTGTACTCTAGGAAGGATGAATCTTCATTGGTCTGAAAGCCTCCTGCAGCACCTTACCCACTGAATGAATACAAGAGCAGGCCATCCCTCAGTTTAAGACTGGGCCAAAAAAAATTGGCACCGGCGAGGATTTATATTAACTCCTGGTCTCACTGTTTTGACAGAGTACCCAACAAAAGCAGCTTTGGAGACACGGGGTTTTCTAATGCTGTCCATCATGCCGGGGAAGGCATGGTGGCAATATTGTGGGGCAGCTGGTCACAATGTGTCCATAGTCAGCAAGTGTTGGGGTATAAGCTGGTCTTCAGCTGGTTTTCTTCCTTTATATCCAGTCCAGGAACAGCCGAGCTGAAATGTCCTCACAGGCATGCCCAGAGCTATGTTTCCTAGGTCACAATTCCAAAGCCAGTGAAGCAGAGTTGACAATGAGAAAAAAAATCATCACGGGATCGATGAGAAAGAGTTCTCTCATCTGAGTAGAGTTCTTGCCTCTGGGGCTAGGGAAGGTACCTATTGTGGAAACAGACATTTGACATTCATTTAGAGGTCAGCTGAAGATGCACACACACACACACACACACACACACACACACCCCTACATGTATTCACACACATCTGGGCCAATGTAAACAAAGAACTCTAGCCTGGAAAGGGATAAATTCTGCAAGAATCAGCTGGTGAGAACACTTGGGAGCTGTGTTCCATCTGTGCATTTGAAAAAGGTTTGAATATTACACTAGCTTGGAGGTTGAGAGCTCATGTGAAGCTCAGTGATCAGCTTCTAACTCTTGCTGAATGGGAGCTCCCTCCTGTTACCACTTAAAGCCTTCTGGTCTAGCCAGGAGAAACCCAGTCAGCTCTCATAAGAGACAAACCCTTAAATAGTGGAGTTCTGCTTTCCTCCTTGCTTTTGGTAATTACTTCCAATGTGTACATATTTCCCACTTGTCTGTAAGATAGGTGCTGATTTGCTCTCTCTTTGTCCAAAGGGGCAGAAGTGGAATTGGGACATGAAATCTTGCATGTTGTCTTGGACAAGCCCCCACCTTTCCTGTGAAAGCAAGACACTGGAGTGAGTTGACCTGAGGTCCCATCTTTTCTGATGCCCTATTGAAGTTTCCCTGGAAGCATAGGGGCATATATAGCTTTAAGAAGACTAGTGGAGTCATGTGGGTGTATTTGTGTGTGTAGACAGGGTCTTTGGTGATCTGCCTTGATAAAGCTACAGATATACAACTTGCCATTTATGTCTTAAGATAAATTCCCTGCTGAGTCTTAGTTCCTCATGGATTGCTGACTGTCTCACTTGGTTTGGGTGTAAACCAAAGGACATGCTATTTAGCCTGTGCTGAAATTTGTGCCTACACCAAAAGAAGTAATCAATACTTGTTAGTCATTGTCATTTGCCCTCTAGGGTGCACCTCGAAGAGATTTACCAAACTCCTCCACAAGAAGATCCTGAACAATGAAGCTCCATGGACTGTTGAAGAAATTACATCAGTTACCTCATTTCAATTTCATCAAAGCTATACAGAGTTGAAATATTGTGACCCTCTTGCATTTTAGAGATAAAGAAACTGATCAAATTGAAGATAAATACTTAATGACCAGCTCTCCGGGAAAGAAAAACAAGGTCTAGGTTGTGCTATGTTCTGTGGTATATATATGGCTGCAGTAGTTCAGCACAAGCTACTGATGTGGTGATCCCAGATGGCATGATGAGAAGAGTTGGACTCAGCGGTCTCTCTGGACCCACTCAGTCCTAATGGAGTGAGAATGGTGGGAAATAAGTCACCAACTCTGAGCAACCCCCTGGACTGCTACCTAGTCTACTCTCCTTCTGCCCCTAGCTCTCAGCTCCACTCTATAATGCAAAAAGTGCTTCACCTAAAGAACTCAAACTCAGAGACAGAGAACATGCCTCAGCAGTGAAGAATATGTACACCATACTGCTCTTGCAAAGAGTGAGAGTTTATTTCTGACCATCCACTTCAGGAAGTTCACAACCACCTGTAACTCCAGGTTCAGGGGATCCAATACCATTCACAGGACTCCTGGGACACCAAACTCATGTATGAACTCACTCACAGACACAGTTGTGTATGTGTAACTAAAGCATGTGAATAAAAGCTAAGAACAACAAAACAAGCCCCCAAACTCAGCAGGAAAGTTCCAGTGTGCAAGCTTGACTAGAAGTCTACATGGAGATTTAACTCCATTCCATGCTGGTTTTGTCAGGGGAAGGACAACTACTTTACTTCCAAGACTTGTGCACTGCAATCTACTTTGTGCTGCAGCTAACAGTAATTCACCAGAAAACGACTATAATCATAATGTTACAAATAAGACAGCCTTCATTAGTAAATTTAATCAGATCTTCAACAATGTGTGGCTTTCTTGGTTAGTTAGTGAACTTTAAGATGTTCAGATTGCACAACAACTACGTGCTGTTACTCTGCATTATTTTTTATTGAGTGTTTTGTGCAAATCAGGCTTCTCAAATGACACTGTTAATTCACTGCCGGGAGCTTACTAATAGCATACACCTAGAAGTGTCTAAATCTCACTGGGAAGTTCCAACACATGGTAGAGCCAGATATACAGAGCCCTTTCTTCCTCTCCTTAATTTAGAATACTCATTGGCTTGGCATTTTAAAATGTACTGGAGGACAAACAAATAAAAAGATGTTCAATTTCTACTTCTCTTTGGTGGCTAAAATGCCATTTTGTGCACCATAAAGCAGCTATTAGACTTTATTGCTAGATAACACAACTGTATCAAGCAAGCTGTTCAAAGAGAAGCATTCACCCCCAAACCAAGGGTTCCTCTGCCTCTAAGAAGCTGCCTGGTGCGATGCTGGCCAGGGTTGGAGGCTGCTGGTACTTCCATAGCAACCAGTCATCAGGAAGGTCAAAGCTAAGGCACAAGAAGCCTGAGGTGCCCTAGCTGGCCATTCTCAGGTTTACCTACCTGCAAGTGTAGGTAAACAAAAGACAGATTGAGACAGAAGTGCAGATGTACAAAGCAACTTGTACCTTCTCTTTTCTGTGTTACTTTAACTCCCAGTGCCTACCTTGCAACCTCTATTATCCAGACCTTGGGTCAAGTAGTACTAACATGCTAACATTGTTTCCTTGAACTCAAGATGCAGTGACAGACACACTTGTATATATGTTAACATCTCTAGTTAAACGACAGGCTTTCCCCCAAGAGGGCCGTAGTTGACCTAAAGAAGAATTTGCCTAAGCATGGGTTTGAAAGGACTGTCCCATCAGACAGGTTTTAATGAAAGGATGTCTCTGCCATTGTTGAAAAACCACCGCAAGCACAATCCAGCAGAAACATTGACTTCAACTCTCATCTCCCCTTTACCTTGACCCTTACCTCCATGTAACAGGAAAACAGCAATTCCCCACAGTACTGTTGTCTTCTCCGCTCCCTTTTCACTTTTATACTAAAGGAGTAGACTATCTCTGACTGAGTTCCTGACTTAGTTTGCTTCTGTTACTGTCTCCTAATGTCAGAAACTCTGTCATCAACAGACTTGTCTTGTGTGCACAGGGCCAAGAACAGGATCCATTAAGTAGCAATCACTGAGTATTTGTCAGAGTCTAATTTTTAGAAGTCAAATTGGAAGGGGGTGTTTCAGGGCTCATAGTCATTCGAGAACTGGGCTGTATGGAGAGATCTCTGTATTTCTGCATCATCGGTGGTTTCTCTGTGACGGAAGATGAGCTCTGGCCTTCCTGAGGCTGAGTGATCTGACAGAAGCAAGCTCCCAGGTGTCTTTTGGAACATCCGTGGAGATGTTGGCAGGTTGAGTTCATCTCCTACTCACTCTTTGGAGCTTGATTTACGGTTAATATCTCAACACAAGAAGAATATGTGAGGAAGACACTGCTAGAAGCCTTGTCTTGAACAGGGAAAGCAAAGAACAGGGTGGTTTTCCAGATGATGCAACCTCCCAGTTTGTAAACAGAAACACTCATTTCAGCCTTGACAGCAAGCACTGCAAAGTGACTTCTGAGTGACTTGAGAGACTGGTTCATAATTCCATTACTTAACAAGTACACGCATTGAGAGTCGGGCTTGTAGAAAGGTATCCTTGATACAATGTCCTGAGCACTTAAACTTCCTGCTATGCACAGTGATAAGTACTATTCATAGTGTCTTCATTATTCTCACAGGTGAGTATCTGAGATGAACCCAGCTGTGACAGCTATTCTACAGATTCAGAATTGAAGCATATTACAAATTGGCCATAGGTCCTGCAGCTCCTACTTTGGTAAAGCATTTATCTGACCATAGAGCCTTGTGATGGTGTCTGTAAGGGATTATCTTAAATAAGTTTTCTTTCTTTAAGATTTATTTTAATTTTATGTATATTTATGTGTATACGTGCATGTGTCTGTGTGTGGAAATGTATACTTGGGTGCAAGTGCCTGTGAAGGCTGAAGGTGTTGGATCTCTTGGAGCTGGGGTTACAGGAGGTTGTGAACTCCCCAAGATGGGTTCTAGGAATGCAATCCACATCCTATGGAAGAACAGCATGTGTTCTTAACTTCTGGGCCATCTTAAGTCAGTTGATGTGGGAAGACCTTGTAGGTGGCACTATTCCATAGGCAGAGGACTCTGAACTGCATAAGAGTGGAGGAATTAAGGTGAGTACAAACACGTGAGCAGATAAACACGAGTGCAGTCTTTTCTCTCTACTCCTGAATGTAGGTGTGCTGTGAATCGATGTTTTTTTATTTAAATTTAAATTAGAAACAAGGTTGCTTCACATGTCAATTCCAGGTTCCTCTCCCTTTCACTCCCCTCCTCCCACACCCCCTCACCAACCCCTCCAATATCCCCTCATTTCCCCAGGTAGGGTGAGGCCCTCCATGGGGATGTCCATAGTCTGTCCTTCCATCCACGGCAGGGCATAGACCCTCCCCCAAGAGTCCAGGGTGAGAGTGCATCTCTCATTGTTGGATGGGAGTCCAAAGTCCATTTGTATATCCGGGATGAATATTGATCTACTACCCAAGGCTCAATAGATTACCTAGGCCTCTGCTCCTCCCTTGACTTCCTTACAATGATAAGCTGTAGCCTGAAATTTTAAGTTGAAATAAATCCCTTTATCAAAACAGTAGAAATGAAACAAGGGCAGGTTTTGAGCCCATGTTTATTGTTTATTGCCATTCCCCAAGAGGAGGAAGAAAGAAGAGCTTGAAGTATGTGTGTTCAAAAGTGACTGCCAAGAGGGTGGAAAATAACCACCTATCCACCAAAACCAAGCCTTGGCCTCAACAGGAATATAGAAGAGGGACCACAGCCACCTTCATGGAGGGTGAGTGGTTAAACTAATCCCTAAAGTATGTTAAACAAATGTGCTAGAAGGAAAAGTCTCCCAATCAAGTAGAATAGGAAGACCAAGGCTCCAGGGAGTTGAAGCCCAGAGGGAATGTCTGTGAGTTTAAGTTACATGATCCTGACAGAAATAAGACTCTGTTTTATTCCTCAC